CATCCCTTAATTATTTTTGCTCTCAACATCAGGACTTAGTTCCAAATGAGTATTCACTGCCATACCTTACTATGCTAAGAGGTTCTTAAACAAGTATTATGTCATTGTTTTAATGACCTCCTAGCCTGTCTAGCCAGACCATTGCTCCTGCTATGTCCAAGTCCATAAAGGCTCCATCTCCCATCTGATGGAGCAGTACTCCACAAAACCCAAACCATTCTACTCTTTTTCTCTAATCAGGAGACCTCAGCCAAACCATGCAAGCATGCCAATTTTACAGTGGAAGTGTTTGCAAACAAATATTCAGCATAAACACTCTGGAGCCAAAAATGCTTTCTTTAGTAGTGAAGAATGTGGTTTTGTCTCATATTCAAGCGGTTAAACACCAGGGTAGGACCACCCATTGCTAACAAATGCTGCCAACAGCACTTGCTTTTGCAAGGCAGGTAGCCTCAGCATTCCTTAGGTAAGGCAGAAGAAAAGGGTGGTGGTAGTTTCTACCAAAAATTCCAAGTGGCAGACAAACCACCTTTTCAAAAATCATCAATGTTATTCTCTAAGTATGTATTTTAATTAATCTTCTGTAATTATACTTCGTACAGATTTTCATCTGCACTACTAGTGCATAAATAATTAAACAACATGCTTAAGGAGCACGCTGTTGTAGTTTCTGGCCCTGCTATGCAACAAGTCATTGCTGAGAAGCTGTATGACAACTGATGAAACTACAGGAAACACTTGTGTCTTACAGCTGAGTCAGTGACCTGTTCTCAAAAAGGCCTGCTGTAATAAACAGTCTGCACATTAGGCCTGTAAAGGTCACAGAATGGGACTGGGAACACTAAGAGATTTTGCTGTACTTCCTCTTCCCAGATAAGCTGAAAATACTTGAAATGTACCTGAAACCAAAATACAGGAGACTGTTAACAAAAGTTATTAAGACTCCTTAAAACCTGAGTAAAGATTGGGTTCAGCTACTGAGTAAGATGTCTTGTTTCCTCCAGACAGGTTGATGATTCTTAATCCAAGAATTCAAGTAATGAGCAGTTGAAGTTTCCATCTTGAAGCATCTGTTCCGCCAAGTCAGCACTGGCCTTGATAAATAGCAAATCAGACTGATGCATGCAAGTGTATACACACATGCTCAAGCTAAATTTGAGAGAAAATACTTGAACAGATCCTTGCATAGACAGATTTATATAATTAATCTGTAATTAGGCCTTACATGGTGCAGACTGACTCAGTCAAAACACAGAAAATGCAGACATGGTAGGATCTTTACCTGTTGCTGGAAAAAAAAAAAAAAATCAAAGGTTACTTGTGGGTAAGTTTACATGCCTTTATTTAGTTGTCACAAACCTTCACTGCTATTCTAACTTACTCATTCTACGTTGGAATAAAAATATGTTTAGCTAAAGGATAAAAACAAACCACAAATACAACTGCATCTGAGTGTTTTTAGTAATCTTAATAAACTTCAAACAATGCATCTTGCCCTGTTTTAACTGTGCAAAAGAGAAGCTTGCTAACATCACTTGTTTTGTATTTACTAAGCTTTGCAATGATGATTCTCCCTTGGCCTATAGAGAAATGGGTTGTTTTGCACTGTTTACAGCTTTATATTCTAAAAAGCTTCAAATTCAGTTCTCTGATGCTAGAGTCGCATCATTTAGGAGTTTTCTACCTGATAAGATGTGCCTGTAGAGTTGCAGTGACAGAGAACATCCAGCTGGTTTGAAGAAGTTGCACTAACCACTCCTAGCCATATGGGAAAGGGTTCCTGAAGGACTGTACTGAAAACAAGAAATATTTACACAACTGTCTGAAGGCATGCAGGGGGATTACAAACATGAAACTTACTTTCTGGACATGCTTCACAATAAAATCCCATTCAAGGGGAACCAGAGGTATTTTTCTGCTGGTAACTCTTTGGACAGCAGAGCAGAAAGGTGGAAGCAGATGACTACTGAAACGTAAGAAGAGAAGTCAAAAGAAAACGTGTTTGTATTTAAAATACCTGTTGGAATTAATAAGGAAGTGCCATTCATTATTTTAGGAAGAATATCCTTTTTTTCCATAGGGCCTATCACACTATTTTGTATAAAGGGAGATGAAAAATGTCAGTGTAGTTTGCCTTTGAAGAAGACACTTCTGTAAGCTAAAGCAGATGAAGTACACAGCAGCAGACTATCGTTTCATGACTCCCACATTCACTTGAGCAGAAAGTCACCCTGCTACATTCCTCTTTGTGGCGGTGCTGTGTTACAGAGCCACGAGTGGCATTTGCAAGGCCTGTCGGTAGCTGCCATGGTACCTGGTAGCTCCTACCATGGTGCTTGGTTGGGAGCAAGACGAGGAAAAATGATTCCTTGAGGTAAAAGTATCGCACTGGCTCTCTTTTGACAATCAAATGTAAAATGAGAAACCATTTTTTCCTTTGGGGAGATGGATTCTAATGGGAGGCCAAAAATAGGTGGCTACTGATTTGCCAGGAAGGAAATTCATTTCCACTTCTCTAGAAAGTTGATGTGAGAAAACAAACTGGGTATTTGCTGGCTCAAAAACAGCCTCTGAGTGTGCTAAAAAGCTCCTGAAATCATTATCAGAAATCTTTGTGAGGCTTAAAGCCTGCTGATGTCCTCAGGTCTCCCTCACCTCGTCATTATGAAACAACCCACCCATGTCCTTCCATTCCTCTCCTGCCTCGATATGAGGTACAGGTCCCCATAAATGCTGGTCCTTCTCCTCACAAGGACAGAGAGACACAGGGTGCCCCTGCAGGCACACCTCATGTAGCTGAGAATTTATTAAAAGCGGAACCCATCTCCATCCCACCTGGCAACCCCTGCTCCTCTGCCCCAGCTGCTCTCTCCCACCAGGCAGCACTGGGCTCTACCACTGCCAGGTTCCAACCGCCCCAATGAGGACTTGACATTTGTTCTTGTTTTCTCCCGTCTTCCCTAATGGGTACAGCACTACTAAGCGAAGAGGAATGCAAAGAACAAGGGAGTTCAAAGCAATCAAGCCTACATTTACTGAGAATGTCTGGATCTTTGCCCGCCCAGAACCTGGAGCATTTACATAGTTTCAGAAAGTTTAACCCTTTTCCATTAAACCTGGCAATGCGCTTTCCAGCACAGGGCAAGCACTTCTCATCAGTGCCTTAGCACAGTGGAAGGTATCTCTCACAAACCCACCTGTAGCAATCCCATTCCACTTTTTATTTCCCATTTTTTTCACTCTGCGGGACAGTGACTTGAGCTCTCGAGTCCCCTGTTGTGAGATGTTCATAGAACTGCATTGCAGGGGAAGGATCTCTTTATAATAACCCCCGAACGCTCCGCTGAAATTCTCGCTTACACAACATATCCAAGCTGGGGTTGCAAGACCCTACTTGGGTTTTCAACTACAAATTTGTCTGGTGAAGTGTAAATTCACTTGTAACTGTCTGTAAAATTAGTGAAGAAACAGAGATATTCTGAAATAATTATACAGCAAACTCATATTTTTTTTTCTACTAATTAACTCTGAGCAAGACATTGTTTCCATTTAGGAATCGTATCAGTTGACAGTTTATTTCTGACTTTCACATTGTAAAGAAAATCTATTTTTGAAAGAGGTATAAACTCTAGTAATGGTGAGAACTCCAAAAATAGGGTATTTTGCCCCAACCCAAGGCTTTTGTGTGCACTATCTCTGAGCTACATAGTGCAGCACTCCGTAGCTCAATCAGCAAACGTGAGCAGGAAGTCAGAAGCGATTTGCCTGCCTTTTACATACTGCCACTAATTGTTAGTGACAGAAGAAATGCTAAAATAAAAATTGACTCTTCACAATTGCTTGCTCTTTAGTAATCTTCCACCGACTGCCGCTTGAGAAAAGGCTGCAAGAGCGGGACGCCATGAGCACAACAGGAGGTGGTGGGGCTGCATTTGTTTACCTGCAGCTCGGCCCCAACTGCAGCCTTTTAGAAAAATTACCAACACTGAGAGCTGCTTCTGGAGATGTGTATACACATCTGCAGTACCACTCTGATGGAGCAGCAAAGCGTTCTCCTGAGCAGGCCATAGACATACACAGCACAAAGGGAAACAAAACAAAACAAACAAACAAAAAACCCCAGTTTTGAAATGGTTTGTTTATTACCCATTTAATCAGATGGAGGCAAAGCATATCATTAAAGTCTGCAAGCCTGAGACATTTCGGTTACGGCAGCCATATGATCTGCACGAGCGTCTGAACGCTGCTGCTGAATGCCCGCACCAGACGCTGCCCAGTCCCATTTCGCGCTGCTGTTCTTGGAGAAACACAGCCCCGGACAGCACAGTTGGTAGCTCCGCTTCTTTAGAGCTGTCACAGAGCGAACTCCTCACTTCACAACGGCAGCCTGGAGCCCCGCTGGGCTACAGGAGGGATACACGAGGGGCATCCGCATGTGCACAGGTGTTAACGCCGCCCGAACTCGGGCTCCCTCAGCACGAGGAGCTGTGCCCGCCCCTCACGGCGGAGCGCGGCGCGCCGCCTCAGCTCGGTCCCCGTTTCCCGCCCGCCGCGTCAGTAGAGGGAAAGAGGGGACAGCAGCGGCCGTGTCCGTCTCCTTTCCGCCCCTTCTTCCTTCCGTCCGCGCGGGGACGGGCAGCGGGTTGCGACTGCGAGTTGCCTCCGGGACAGAAGAAAAAAAAAAAACAAAAACAAAAACTATGAGTGAACGGCTTTAAAAACCTATTGGAAGGTGGCAGCCGGGAGAGCCGCGCGGTTGCGAGCGGTCCGAAGCGCGCGCGGGGCCGGACGAGCGCCGCTCCGTCGCCACAGTTCCAGCGCCGCCGCCCCGGCACGCCGCGGGGAGGAGCCCGCCGCCCAGCCCGCCGTGCGCCCCGTGGGCCGGGCAGCCTCAGGGCCGCCCCTTCGCAGGGCTGGGTGGGGTGCAGGGGGTGGGGTGGGTGAAATAGAGGCGGGCGCGTGTCCGCGATAGACACCAGCCGCCAGGTACAGGCGGAGGCGCTGACGACGCCTGAGTGGATGCGCGGCCGGGCCGGGGCTCGTGGCTATAGTGAGAGCCGAGCAGCCGCCGCCCAGCCCAGCGCAGCAGCCCGCGGGCAGAGCCCAGCGCCGGGGCGGGCAGCCCGCCCGTGCCGCACCGCAGTGCCCTGCCCATGGCCACTCGGGTGCTGACCATGAGCGCTCGCCTGGCTCCCATGCCCGAGGAGCCGGTGTTCGCGCAGCTCAAGCCCGTGCTGGGGGCCAGGGAAGCGCCTGTCTTCCCCGGAGAGGACCTGAAGCAGCAGCAACAGCCGCCGCAGCAGCAGCAGCACCCGGGGGGCGGCGGAGGGGGCGGCGGCGCGGCCCTGCCGGGCGAGGAGATGGTGCAGGTAGGAGCGGGCGGGACGGGGTGGGGCCGCGCCGCGGGTCCGGGCCGGGGGCTCCGGGCAGCGGGGCGGGGGCAGCTCAGAGCTCCGGCTGCCGCTCGTGCACTTGCCCGGTGGCAGAATTAGAGCGGCCGCCTGTCCTCCTCGCCCACGCGGAGAGTCATGTTCGGGGAGCGGGGGGGGGGTGGGGGGGGGGAGTTGGTGTGGGGGCGGCGGGGACTTCCCGGGACTTTCTGTCCGTCCCGGAACGCTGCTCGGGATCGGTTCCGCTGCGGACAGTTGCCTGCCGGCCGCCCTCCGACCCGCGCCGTGCCCCTCCGAGAGGAGCGGTCCCGGCTTCAAAGCGTCCCGTTGTAAGAGGGGGGAGGCGGAAAGCAGCCGGGCGTGTTTAGGGCAGACGCAGATCAAAGCGAGGGAATGCGTCTCTGTTTGTTTGTGTTGTTTACTGGTGGGCTTTGAAGAAATGTCCTGAAAGCCACTTAAAGCAGGGCAGGTTGTTTATCAGCCGCTTTCTCTTCTCGGGTGCTCGCCGGGTCTGGAATGAGCCCTGACGGGGCGAGGGAGAATGCCGCGTTTGCCCACTGGTGTTGCTCGGCACATGCCTGGCCGATGAGTGTGCGGGGTCAGGCGCTGCCGCCCACGGATTCCCCGGCACCACTGCACCGGGGCAGCGATCCCCGTAATTACAGAGTTCCCGGGACCCGAGCAGAGCTGGGACATGTTTATCTGCTATTCACTGCTGTGCAGATTCTGAAGTCTTAGTGAGACGCTTTGCATAAAGGGTGAGCGAAAGTCGCCGACCAGTCTTTCTTTTATTCGGCGTTACTTATACCTTTACGCTTCGGTGTTGTACTTCTAATCGAACACCTTTCTTCTAAGCATGGAAAAACCTGGAAGCGCAGGAATCAGGCACGTATAAACATCGTTTGAAGTGTTAGCTCAAACGGCTGTCTGGGGATGTGACTTCCCAGAGTTCGCATTTCAAAGCGGAGTGAGTGAAACCGATCGGCAGCGACCTTGTTCGACAGCAAATTCCGAAGGCGAGATCTGTAGATTAGGCCGGGGCCTGTCATTTCCCCGTACGGGGTTGTCTTGTAGACACAAGATGAAAGCTTGCCATGGGCTGAGGCACGCGATTGGTCTCGGCATTTCTCTGTGTGAGCTGTGCTTGCCTTTGTTTTGCCTTCCCGTTCTCAGTGGCATTGGTATCTCCCTCCATAGGTAGCTCACAGTTGGCCGTAGAGCGGCTGTTTTCTGTTTCCCAACTCAAGCTGTGCACGTGCCACCTTGTTTCGCAGCCAGTCATGTGGGCTATCGCACGTTTTGTTTTTGCAGACAAGATGTGAAATGGAGAAATATCTGGCACCTCAGCTTCCGCCCGTCCCAGTCATCTCTGAGCATAAGAAGTACAGAAGAGATAGTGCCTCAGTCGTAGACCAGTTCTTCACCGACAGCGAAGGCTTGCCTTACAGCATCAACATGAACGTCTTCCTCCCTGACATCAGCCACCTGAGAACCGGCCTGTACAAATCCCAGCGGCCCTGCGTCCCCCACATCAAGACCGAGCCCGTCACCATCTTCAGTCACCAGAGTGAAACTGCTGCCCCTGCCCCTACTCAGGCCCTCCCCGAGTTCACCAGCATTTTCAGCTCTCATCAGACCCCTGATGTGAACAACATTTTCATCAAGCAGGAGCTCCCGACCCCTGATGTCCACCTCTCTGTCACGCCCCAGCAGGGCCAGCTTTACCAACTCCTGAGCTCGCCGGACCTCGACATGCCCAGTGCAGCCCCTCAGGCGGCCGTCATGGACTCCCTTAGCAGTGTCTCCATGCCGTCGGCCATGTCAGGCCTCAACACCCTCTCCCCAGCTGTCCCACAGACTGCAATGAAACAGTTCCAGGGCATTCCCCCATGCTCCTATACAATGCCAAACCAGTTTCTTCAGCAGCAGGCCACCTACTTCCCCCCCTCTCCCCCCAGCTCAGAGCCTGGAAGTCCGGATAGACAAGCAGAGATGCTACAGAATTTAACCCCTCCTCCATCATACGCTGCCACTATAGCTTCCAAGCTGGCAATTCACAACCCGAATTTACCTGCAACTCTGCCAATAACTCCCCAGAACATACAGCCAGTCAGATACAACAGAAGAAGTAACCCAGATTTGGAGAAAAGACGCATCCACTACTGTGACTACCCTGGTAAGCAGCATGGCGACTGCACCTCTGGGAATAAGAAAGTGTGAATAGTCATACACTAGGCATAAGTTATTTTCTTTACTATATTTAGAATCAAATCATTTCTTGTTGAAGTGGAATTTCTCCAGCGTCTTATTCTGTGTGGTGTGTACTTACATTCTTTAAATAGTGCCTGTCATTTTCTGCATGTCATTTTTACAGTCAAACTTCTGACCTTACTTTACTGTGTTTAAAAAAGTTGTGCTCTGTCTTTATTGGGGGGGGGAAAAAAAAAAAAAATTAGCTGGATGTCCATCTCTAATTAGAGTCTGTGGGTGTCCAGCTCGTGCCCTAACTTCTCTAATATCTGTGATGGAGCAGAAGTTCAGTTTGATCCTGTAAGACTTGCTTCATCTGCTGGCAGTTGAGCCAATGGCTGTACCTCCCTTGATACAAATAAGGAATTGGATAAAGCAATTAAAATTACCTTTAAAAATTTCACATAAGAGGATAGCCTCAGAGGGAATGTATGTTGCACTGAAAGAAGAACCTCACTCTTTAAGCTATTCCTTCCAGTAATATGTGATCCCAGGTACAGGATGCTCACACCACTCTGTGCACACTGAGAAGGTCACAGCTCTTGGTTCTCTCCCTCTTTATAATTATAACTCACAGTGGTATATCATCTGATCAACGTGATAAATGCATAAAATGGAGAAGTGAGATAGAATCCTAGGTGAACTGGCTTTAGGAATTTAAAAACAAGTTTGTAAGTAGACTTAAAGATTTATGGAGCCATGTAGATTTTAGCAGCTATTGTTTTATACTATGTCAGAAGGAAGTAAGTCTCCCAGAAACATATATTTTTTTTCTATGTAAAGCAATGTCTCCCTAGGAACTTTCTGTATTAAATTATACTTCTAAATGGTTATCGTGCCAGAAGGTAGTAAACTTAAATGCTTCCAGATAGTACCTCAGCACTGAATGAGGAAGTTGAAGCATAATGTAGAGTGTTCCTGTTCTCCCTACTGAAGCATTTCTCTCCCTTCTTATTTTGTTTTAGGCTGCACAAAAGTGTATACAAAGTCTTCTCACTTAAAAGCACACCTGAGAACTCACACGGGTATGTACTCGCTCTCACTGTCTCTTGCTCATTAATGGCTTATATCTCTGAAAAGGCACAAGTGTTTGATCTGCCATCTTCTCCCCATTTCTGTACAGTGCTATGGGATCAGACTGGCACTTAAGAAAAATTTCAGGTTTAGTCTGTGAGAAGAAAAGCTTTTTTTTTATTATTTTTTTTTTTAAATTCTAAATGCAGTGTTCAGCCTTTTACAATGCAAAACTCAAAACTGTTAAGAATAAAACAGATGGAAATACAATTTTCCCCCCAGAAAATCTTCTTAGGAATAATGAATTCAGCAGAATAAACATTACGAATTTGAAGATGTATCTACATAAATAGAGTTTTTCTATTTTGAGCCTTCTCTTTGACCTGTTCAGAGTTATTTAATCTTAAACTTCTTTTTTCCAAAATGCTTTGAAAATTCTCATCATCTCCATTTGCATATTGTGCGTGTTTTTGTTTGTTTGTTTGTTTTCTGAGACAGTTCTTTTTTTTCTGCTAGTGGAAGACATTAGAATGGAGGAAATGGAAGTGCAGAGTGTTAGTGTATAACATCTGTTTTTACACACTGATCGAATTCTGTGTGCACATACTGACACAATTGCAGCTCGTGGGCCTAAACCTAGACAGGCTGAGGACAAAGCTTTGCTTATTCATGCACACAGGAGCCAAGCCTTCAAAACCCAGAACTTCATAGGGATTGTTCCTAAGGATGGACTTGTGTAGACAAAGGAGGCAGGAGGAAGAATGCTGAGCTCCCCAACAGCGCGCTTAGAGCTATTAGGACAGTTCTGGGATCTTAATACAAAACTAGTTGTGCTACAGTAAGAAGACAGTTTTTACTTTACAGTAAAATACAATTACTTATCTATTTGCCAAAATAAAAAATTAAACAAAAAAAAAAAAGGAAGGGGGTTACTACCTGTGTTTTTAAAATGGAGTGTGAGCTTGAACTCTTACCTGCGAACATCAATGCACTTCAAGCAGTTTGCTTATTGAAGCAGGCTGCCAGCACTAAGGTTGTGCTGCTCAAGTAATGAGTTTTCACCTAAGTTTAAATCAAAAGTCAAAACTTTTGCGTGAGCTGTGATCCAGCAAAATGCTTTGCTGTCTCTGTGGAAACAAGGCTGTGTTTTCAGCTGTTCTGAATGGATTGTTAGATTATCGTAAGAAATTGAGTATCTCCAGGCTAAATGTTACTATGGAAATTTTGTTTTGATAAATGAAAGAGTTATCTGTGTTGCACTCACAGTTTAAAAAAAAAAAAAAAAAAAAAAAAAGTTCTAAGCAACTCTACCACTTTAATTTCATAATAGACTAAACAAGAACACTTTGGTATTTTTGTACATATGGTCACTCATTGCTGACTAGATTGATAAGAATATTTTTCTGAAACTGTAAACCTGAACAATGTCAGACAGAATAATACTATTGGTCTTTAATAAATAACCTTTAAGTGATGTCCGTGCAATTTAGCCAGCAGTTGAGTCTCAGTTTTAAATGTCACTTGCTATTATACAGTAACTAGGAAGAAGATAAAAGTAATGTTCTACTCCAAAAAAATGAGTTACTTGGGCATCACTAAATACTACTTTCCCTTTTTAAAATCAGTGTGGTGTTTTGTTTTCTTTTTTTTTTTTTTTTTTTTTTTTTTAATCCTGAGTGGTAATAGCTTTAGGGGTTTATGAAGTTAATGTTTGTGTGCACAGAAATATTTACACCCCTAATACATACTGCATGGGATCACTAATGTTTATTGTTACCTTCACTTTTCTAGCTATAGATGTTTGACCTTAGAAATGTGGATTAATGTGCAGAGGTCAGAGAAGCTGATGTATTCATGGAAACAAGAATGTTGGAGATAAAAATCTAGTGAATTTAAGCAAGCCTAGAATACAAAGGGTCTTCTGGGGAGGTGAATGAAGGGATAAACTGTCTGAAGCGCTAACATGCAAGAATGCGAGTCCATATCCTGTTACCTGCATTATTTCAGAGTTTGGATTAGTTAGCTCTCTTGAATATTCATTTAATACTTGAAGATTTCCAGTACAGATTGTAATCTCTTCGCTTAAGATACAGCGTCGATTTACGAGCAGGATCTCTGACGTACTGATACCACATAAATCAATCAGCTGAAGGTTAACATGAATGGAAGCGATCTCAGGGAAATGGCGTAGTTACGCTGGGGGCCCTCGGGGCTCCCTCAGGAGTGCAGGGAGATCTCTCTGCTTTGCCTCAAAAGAGGGAGGCTTGGTGCTAAACTTCAGGGAGGCGTTTCTTTGTGTATCAGTCCACTTTGCGTGCACCTAGTCCCCTTGAACTATGCATTCATGCAGTGTTACTGAGCCTTGGCTTTAATTTATTATTATTTTTAAGACTCTTGTGAAGCTTTTACCTTCAAAGTCTGAAGTAATTGTCACGTAATCCATTTTAATAAAGTTGTGTGTGATATTCTTTCAAATCCCTTCAGGGATAGCAGACCTGTTTATCTGGCTAAACCCGTTCTTTAGTAATCATGGACCACTGAAGTTGTTTTCTCCTTATTCTTAGTTTCTTAACAATACCTTTCAAAATTGGCTGCAGTCTCTCTCTCATCCCAACCAGCCCCCGCCCTTCTTAGCAATCTGTCATCTTAAAATAAAAGAGCCTGCAGCAAAGTTTGTCTGCCAGTAAAAGTCAAGACAGACCTTATGGTTTTCCTTTTATATTGGAAAATCTCAGTCTTTTCAAAGTATTTATTTAGCAGTCTTTTTTTTCTGAATGGCTTTCACCAGGTCTAAAAGATGTTCTTTGAGAACAAACTTCAGGGAAGTGTTATTTTTAATAGATGGAATGTAGGCTGTAGTTTTTTGGTTTTTTTGTTTTTTGGTTTTTTTTTTTTTTAATTAAATACAAACACACTCTCAGACTTTTACATTTAACTAACACTAGGAAATGGGCAAGAGCAAAATGCCATTCTCTTTTCTTACGTGTTTCTTGCATGTTTACCTTGCAGCAAGTCAGATAGCTTAAGCTGGTACGTAATGGAATTATGCTGGACGCCATATTCACTCTCTCCAACAATCACACAGAGAAGCAAGGTTAATATCTTTGTTTGAGCTGCTGGAGCAGGCATCCACTTTCCTTCTTCTAGATACTGCTTTAGTGTTTGTAAATTAGGAAGTAAGTTTTTGTTGTTGATAAACTGGTAACACAAAATGTGGAATATACACAAACATTCAGCTGCTGTGGAGAAACACAGCACTGTGTATCCATTTCTGTGCAGTTGTGGAGCAGATGTCCAGTACATTTGAAAAGCTTAAACACTTCAGAGTGGTATCTTAACTTGCTCTTAGTTATTTCCAAGACGCATAGGACAGTACTCATCACATGGAAATACCTGTTGGAGCATTTGTCAAAATAGATTAAGTAGTTTTTTTTCTTTTTACTTCTGGAAGCGGGGATTTTCTTTTAAAATGATTATACCCGTTAGTCATGGAACAAGTTTCATAACTTGTATTGTGCAACTGGTGTATATATTAGAGGGTGTTATGCATTTATTGCAAGCTGTCCAACATGAAAACTACTTCAAGACACTGACATAACAGTTCTGTGTCCAACTAGAAAAACGTGCCAGATGTCAGAGCGAAGCAATTCATTGTGTATTGTAGATAACCTCATTAGATTTCTCCTGTAACATGAGTAGATACATACTTCATATATATATCTATATATATGCATATGATCCTTTAGAACCATGTTTTGTAGAACTTAAACCTGTTACGTTTCTTTATATGTAAAAATTTGGGACTCTTGAAGTTGAGTCTTTAATATGCAGGCACCTGGAATACACTACCTGTAATGCTACAGCAGAGCTGCTGGCTCTAGGGTGTTTCTTCTATTATTTCTGCAAACAGCCGCACACTTGAGAATTTTGTATGGTTTTTTAGAGGAAAATCTGTCACTGTTTTGAACTCATCAAGGCACTGAGGGCATTTTCCAGCTGCGTACTGGTTTTCCGTATACAGAAGCTTCGTACAGGCATGTTCTCTGATCACATGGTTGATTTGCCATTAATAGTTTCTAACATTAACTGCATAACTATTTCGTCTCTATCTATAGATCTAGTTTGTATTTGGTGATGGGAAGTGGAAGCCGAGATAACTCAAGAGAAATGGCATTTCTCTAAATGAGATGCACTCAAAATACTTCCACCAGCCCTAGTTATTTCAAATGCTGCATTGGCATGGGACAGCTGCTAGCTTGTGCGGTTCCTCAAGGTGTTAAACATTTTACTTCCATTTAGATCTCTGCCTCAGTAGATCCAGAACTAGTTTATATACACCAGAATTAGAACCAGTTGTGTGCAGTAGACATTAGCAGTCCTTATGACTTTGTGTTCTGAATTTACTGTAGCTGTAGATCTATGCATGTTAACAGTGGTACCTTAAAGAATCGCCCAGAAGCTCAGGACACCCATTCTTTAGAAGGGAGTACAAGTGACAGTGGACCCTACCAAAAAAAAGCACCTCACAAAGAACACATACTGATCTCAGTCCTGAGAATTAGGTGAAGGATTTTGCTTGTGTTATACAAGTGGGGAACTGGAGCTCAAGACTGCCTTGCTCATGGTAGCAGCTTTCTGTGTCTGTAGCGACACTTTATCCAGGAAAAAAACCTTTAGATCGTGAAAATAGCTATTAAGTAAGCACAGATTCTGTTTCTTTAACCTGTTGAGTGAGTCAGCTGTGCTGATTATTCTTTAAGGAGATGTCAGTAAATGCCATCATTGGAAGAGAGAATAAGGAAAAGTGGAGGAGAGTTAAATAAAATTGTTGACAAAGTGCATTAAAGTGCAATATTGCTAGATGCTGCTGGAGAATATGTTGGTATCTTTTATTTATGAATTCTGCTAAATCCATTAGTTGCCTGTGTGAGAAATGGAAGAACATTATTTTCCTGTGCAAACCACAGTTTAAGGGAAAATAATGCATTTTTCAAACACTCTGTGGATGATT